GTTTCATTTATTCGAAGCGTTCAAAATAAACCATAGTCCATTGCCACACCTAGGTACCCAACTGATGTGTCAGAGTCGCTAATAGACAGCTTGGAACACTGTGTACGAAGTTTTTGATACCTTGTTATTTTGTGTAGCGAAAAAAGGATATCGTAGCTTTTGATGCGTTAAGAGACAGGTTAGGAGCTTTGAACAAAGTACTGAGTCCATTCACATGGTCCTGCAGTCTGAGTGCGGGAACGAGAAATAAAATATGCGTTAAATCAGAAGCTGCCGACAACAGATGCGCAACAGTTGCCCATGGAAGCGGTTGCTTTGAGTCACCCGTGCATGAATAGAAACCCAACAGTTGACAGAGCAACAACCGGTTTTTCAGATACTAGACTGAAAAAGAAGATATCGAAAATTGATTAGTTACTTAAATGGGATAAGAATGATAGAAACTAGACACCCTTTTTACATGTTCAGTTCAGGTACTAGGACTATGCACAACACTAAGCGAAGCTAGGCACTGGCAAATCTTTACATATAGTTTGCACTTTTTATCTCACTTCAGTATGCTTGTTGGCAGGAAAAGGTCAAGTTCCGGTGTGTAACCAGCCTACCGTGTTCAGCAAGCAAGGGATTGCAATCGCCATCTCAACGCCTTTCAAGTTGGCGTTGCAAGGGTGAATGTATTAAAACAGTGTAAAGGTGCTTTACATAATAAGAGCAGTTCTGTTCGAATTTAATTGTGGTATCATTGGGTATTATACGTTTATCCTAGTGTGTTCAGACTGGATTTGTCCAAGTCTACTCTGAATGAATACATGGCTACCTCAAAGAATACTGAGAATTTTGCTGCTCAGCATTTACAGTTGACGGCACGAAAGATTTTGCACAACGCTTTGGTTATATGTTATCATCCCAATAGCTCCAAAGGCTTTTTCCTCATTCCATGACAAACTGCCACAAATCACGTTTCCAAGTGGCGCGTACCAGCGCATCCATTACTGCATGTTGTTCCATTTGTAGCACTCCGATATCCCAACTTATCAGCGAATGTGGGAGTATATGAATACCAACAAGTCTCTGTTTGTGAATAAGACAGAAGATGGTATTGCGAGAGCATTGAAAGGTAATTACGCCTTCATTCTTGAGTCCACCATGAATGAATACTACTCACAACGGAACTGTCAGCTGACTCCTCTCGGTGGTTTACTTGATCCCAGAGGATATGGAATCGGTCTACCAATCGGAAGTAAGTCCGGCTACCGGGCATATATAACAGTCATAATGTGGAGAGTCTAATTTTTACACCTAGCTGAATCCATTATAACATAATACTGTTCATGCAGGTTATCTACTACAGAAGCATTCCAATTTGACGAGATGACACAATAAGGCTTAGATTCACACGACACGTTGCAAAGCGACCATAGTTTTACTAGTGCTTTTTTAATGACTATAACAAATGATCTGTATAATTTTTGTTTGCTTTTTACTTCAAATATGGTTGACTGAGGACCATGGCCACTGGTATCATTCTCGTGGACTTTCCTGTTGACCAATAACCTACTAGTCTCCAAGACGTAGGCAAGCAACCGCAATTGGGGCTTAGTTTAAAGTGGACCTTCTTATGACACAAGTGTGTAAAGCAACCTCTTGAGTACCACACGTAAAATGTGGCCCAAGCCGGACAACCCTCCTTGATTTGGCTGTACCCAAGGACGAAGCGGATTTTTGCTTTACCGTGCTGGATTCTACTTTTGCTTTGGGGATACGGTCTTATACGTATTTTCTCTGTGTGAATTGTGCACCAATACTTTGCTTTCGGTGCATTTTTCTATCTTTCCTAATTTGGTAGCTATTCTCCTGCTACTGTCGGAGATCTCACTGATTGTCTCAACTGCCATCTATGTCCACCATCTTGGATTTATTCTACAGCAATCTAACCGGTGTCTGCCAGTCCTAGCTTGACCGACAGCGTTTGTATTCAGCATACCAGTGTAAATATTGCGAAGAACGACTTCCGCAGATCTGACAGGCAAAATAGCGTGTCCTCCTTACCCACGGAACGCTAAGTCCAAAGCTTTCGCAATGAATGTTAGTTATGGCGTAGACAGCTGTGTAAAACTTGTGTGGTTTGGAATAGTATGCAGATACTGCCGAAAACACTTTATTCTCGATGTACCAGCCTTAGTCTCAGCCAGAAGAAATAACTTCATAATACGACCCATTCTCTCTGGTTCTGCACTGAATGTACGTCTCTGCCACTCGTCAGATGTATAACTGTGTTGGCCCAGAAGTGTGATAGGCTGACAAAGGTTGTAGAGCAGGCAGCAGTCGTGAAAGCAGTCCCATATGAACCAGACTAATCAGTGCCTCAAACTCGAAGCTCAACATCAACCTCCATATCAGAACAGTGTAATAGTAACGGTCCAGTTAGCCATTTCGACACTAACGGCTGCTCATAAAGATGTGTTCGTCACACATTCTTCAACAGAATACCCCGCCACACTAAACACTGTTAGAGGGCCTACAATCTACGCGTCCGTTGTTGCTACCCCTATGACGGCGGTACCTGCCATCGCAACCCAGCCCGTTTCCAAACGAGTTACTATTACAAATGCCACCACGGAAGTCAAGACCCCATCATTTGTCTAACTGAAGAAAGCAGTCACGGGCCATCCAAAAATTACCATAATTCTCTGTCTGTTATGTGCTTAATATGACTGAATCCGGGGTGAACACCATAAAAGATAAGATATTAGACGACAAAAAACAGGGGTTTAATCTAAACCAGTCAACATGATGCGTCTCGTTTGACACCCAAACTCCGTACACTACGGTGAACCGCGGTTACTCCAGGTAACACTTCAGTCAGGTAATAATGCAGAGTCAGTTCTCTTGTCAGCCACCCGCCTTCGTACCACTACATGCACTGTTCGAATTTTTCTACATGTTCCTTGGAGCGAATGCCAGAAACGCAAACAAACAAGACGCAAAATCTATCCTTGTTTACGGTGTCCCCGGGCTCCAGACATTAGGCTAGCGAGAGGCCAAAGCGCATGACTAGGATAGGTGGCGTTTTATTCGTGAAGTACTCTCCTTCGAAAATGTTATCGCTAGTTCAAAATCAAGGTTACCAATATTACCTAACAACAAAGGATGTGGTCCCTGAGTGGTGAAACTATCATTGCACTCCGAACTGATGGCAGAACATGTGGTCAAAATGTGGCACAAAAAGCCTAAAATGCTGCCATCCGAAATAAGTATAAAAGCGATAGGCACCGGGCCCCAGACAGACAATGTAACACTGAGCAAGCAACTTATCAATACAATTCTGTCACGGTGTAGCTTAGCAGACAATGTGAAACACACCGACTGCTTTAAGAGGACAGGATTGTCACCCTCTGTTTGGCACTGAGATCTCTGTACAACAAATTGTACTCGCTCTTGGGCCTGTTCAGTTTTCGGTCCGACAATAAAACGACCGGTATCCGACCCAGCAAGGGTAGGCATAGGCCCTCAACGGAAACCAGCATACACAAACACGATTCTGACCACCGATGCCTTCACATGCTTGTATACCAATGCACAATGGTCTTCTCAGCAACCTAACCAAACTTCGTATTTGTCAGGTTCGTACGCTTTGGGACCTAGTTATGGTCACCGAAACATGGTTGAACACGGAGACCACGGATGCTGAGATTGCACTACACGGCATGACTTCCATACGAAACGATCGACCTAGCAGAGGAGGGAGAGTGCTCCTGTATTATCGATCCTGCCTGCATGTTAATATCATTGAGGACCCAGAAACGAAATTCCTCCATTCGCTTTGGTGTCGTATGCACCTAAGATGTGGTGCTGTGTTTATATTAGCCATAGTTTACCGCCCTCCAATGTCCATCTTGGAAATGGGTCAGTGATTAACATCTGCAGTCAAACAAGTCCTAGCACGATCATACATTTACATCATTCGGGAAGGGGACTTCAACCTGAACCCAATCGAAGTTCCAACCTCGTACAGCAAACAATTCAAGGGTGATTTTTAAGAGGTGATCGCAGATGTTCCTCTGTACAATCAATGCACCTCTCCCAAGCGATTCCGCACCGGTCACACATCCTCTGTTTTTGACCTTTTGCTCTCCAACG